TCACGTTGCTTTGAGATGGTCGAATTGGTCAACCTGTACCTTGGTCCATAGCAATTGAAAAAACTAGTCAAACTCTACAATAATATTTATTTATCCCTTTACATTGGCTGATTTTTCCATGAGTAAATGCGTAAGGTAGGAAGGTTAGGTTAGGTTAAGAAGGCGCGTACAAATGAATCCAGCTTTCTCTCGGAGCCAGACTTGCCCACTGAGAATGCCCTTCCAACCGAAGTTATTCCATATTGACAGTTTAGTGTCTATTAAACCACTCACTATCCCGGACGAAGCTGTGGAGCTCTGATGTTTCCACTTCCGTTATATCCCACAAACTATTGAAAAAGCTTGATACTCTTTATCCGGGCATTGACATAGGAAGTGGTGAATCGACTCCTCTTTTTCCTCATTCCGACAACTTCTGTGGCGCCGATAAGAGCTCTTACTGCAGACTTGCTTAACATCAATCATTCGTCAGTACGACTCTTATTGAGCTCCGAGCATAACAATCTCGGAATATCACAGTCGTCATGATTTATCCCCAGGTCAATGGGTACGGCGTTGGTAGTAGGCAGTTATCTTCTTCGCTATGGTGCACCGCCGAGCCGTTTGTAGCCACCTAATCCGCTATTTCATTGCCTTTGAAATGTCTAGGAACCTAGTAGAGAAAGGTGTTGAGGCGACTATGTGAAGCCAGCGATGGACGACATCTCCGAAATACGTTCGACTTTACTATCTTCGAATCTAAATTCTTATTCGTTTCTTAAACGATCGGTGTAGATGGTAATGCAATCAATTATCGAGAGTGTGCCGCCTCCCTTATCTTATCTAGTGGGAAAATGGATCGGAATCTTTAGACTTAAATTATAAGATGACGTGAGGTAATCACTTATTTTGACAGTAATCAGTTTACACATTCAAGTCGCTCCATAGGTAAAACCGGTCGTATGACCCTGATTTTTCACCAAAGCCCTCTTGCAGGTATAGTACGCTACAAGGCCCTCATATGCTTTTTCTTCTATTTTGCTCCTCCATTTAAGCTTGGAGTCAGCTTTGGTAAGAGGAATTTGTGTTTTCTTTGTAAACAAGAAAAGTTCGGTTTTAGAGGGCTAAGCTCCTAGCCTATTTGGTTTGGCCCAGTAGGAAAGATAGCCTAGTATCTATTAAATCAGCTCACTAGTTGTTTGCAAGAACTTTCCGGAAATTAGAAACGCCTAGTTATCAGCGTAGGCAACAACCTGCGTTCTCCGACTTTTCTTACAAGGCTTTGTGCCGCTCGTATGAGCCTTACCTAGCGTAGGCAATCGTAATACATTTTGTAGAATATTCAGGTGAATAATCCTAGAAGATAAATGTTCTTACATACATCTCAATTTAAATACTACACTTTAAGCAAATCTCTCATCACTTCTTATTTGTTATATATTTAGTACCTTCATGAGTGGTCCTGTTGGCATGGCTCTCATACCTGCCGGCACTCCAATGGCTGTACATGGCCTAATGTTCACACGAGCATTCAGAGGTCAAGGCACACCAGAACAATATGAAAAATTCGGGCGGCGAGCAGACAACTGTGAAATCCTTGGCACTTATGCGCAAACGGAACTTGGACATGGAACCTACTTACGAGGACTGGAAACACGCGCCGACTATGATCGCAAAACTGATGAATTTGTGCTGAATACGCCCACTTTGACATCGTACAAGTGGTGGCCTGGTGGATGTGAGTGAGACCTACTGATAACATTGAATCTGTAACTAGAATCTCTATGCAAATATCTTACGCCTACAGTGGGTCAATCGGTCAACTATTGTATTGTGGTCGCACAGCTGTATATCGACAATGAGCCGTTGGGCGTGCAATTGTTTGTATTGCAGGTGCGTGATGAGCAAACGCATGCGCCGCTGCCGGGCATCGACATTGGTGATATTGGTAAAAAGATCGGCATGCAGGGCGTAAATAATGGTTACTTGGGCTTAAAGAATGTACGCATTCCACGCATGAATATGCTGATGAAGAATGCTAAGGTGTTGCCGGATGGCACCTTTGTGAAGAGTCCTGTGTCGCAGCTAGCCTACTTTCCGATGGTTTACGTACGTTGTATGGTTGTGCTGGGTAATAGCATATTGCATGCAGCAGCAGCGACCATAACGACGCGTTATTCGGCTGTAAGGCGTCAGAGTCCCATAAATCCAGAGTGAGTAGTAGGTTGACACATCCGTTGCTTGATGTTTCTTTAATAACCAGTGGTTTTTCAGCGGCCCGGAACCACAGGTGTTGGACCATCTCACCCAACAAATGAAAGTTGTGCCGGAGATTGCTACGGCTATTGCGTATCGTATCGCTGGTGGCAAGCTGTACAAATTATTCGAGCAAACGTCGAAGGATGTCAATCGTGGCGACTACTCGCGCTTGCCGGAGCTCCATGCGCTGGCCTGTACGCTAAAAGCATCCTGCACATATGATTCAGCATTTGGCATTGAACGTTTGCGTCTGTCATGTGGCGGCCATGGTTATTTAGCTTCAGCCAATTTGGGTAACCTTTTCACATCGGCTACGGCCGCTTGTACCTATGAGGGCGAGAATTCTGTATTGTACTTGCAGGTTGGTAGAATTTTATTGAAAACCTGGGCGGAAGTATTGGCTGGCAAGCAGCTAATGCCTACAATGACGTATTTGAGCGAGTGCGCTAATTGGAGTAAGTTTCCACAATGGAGTGACGATTGGAAGTGTTTGGCGCAGGCTCTGCAATACACGGCTACCAAGTGAGTTTATGTCTCGTGTATAAAGAAATATTTTAAACAATATTTTCGGGATTTTCAGTAAAACACGCATCGCCTTTAAAAGCTATAATGAACGATTGAAGCGTGGTATGCCGCAGCCAGAGGCAGTAAATGCAACTGGTATAGAGTTGACGCAGGCCGCTGAGGTAAAGAAAGTGATTAGCGCGGGTAGTTACGCAAGTGAAGGGTAGAGAAGTTTGGGAGTGCCTTTAATAAAGCAATTCATAAGACGTTTAAGCAGCCAAAGAAAAAAGTAAGCGTACAGTTTGAGTTCATAACTGTTGCATAATTATAGGCGTAATATAGGCAATACACTTTCCGTCTCTAACTCGCTAACTTACCTTCAAATCACTTTTTTTAAGTTTAAAAATGTATTCACCTCAAATTTCTTTCGTTAGCTCCACGGTCGTGCCTTTGTTACCAACAACTTCTTCGAAGAGGTTACTGGCCCGAAGGCAGCTAAACGTTCGACATCACTGAATAAGGTGCTCGAAGATCTGCTTGAACTATATCTGGTACATACTGTTCAACGACATATGGCCGACGTTTTGAGGGTAAGTTTCCATTACAATTTTGATAGAATATTTTTAATTTTCTCCATTCCTGCAAGTTCATTCCCCTAACCGACGACCATTTAACTTCACTGCAAACGCGGCTTGAAGCAGTGCTTGCTAGGCTGCGCCCCAATGCAGTCACCATTTGTGATGGTTTCGATTTCCATGACAAGGTACTGAGCTCCGTTTTGGGTTGCTATGATGGCAATGTCTATGAGCGCATTTTTAAAGCGGCCAAGAAGAGTCCCCTGAATCAGAAAGCTGTGCCGGCGTCATATGAACAGCACTTGAAACCATTTATGAAGTCGAATTTGTAAGGACGGATGAGTGGGGTTTGATGCTGATGTTGGGCGAAAGTCTATTATGAAAACCTCTGGAGCCCATTTTTGTACACTTTTGTAAATGATGTAAATAAATATTAGATTTTATTTTTAAATAAAATAACAAAATTTTATTAGTGGTTAACAAAAAAATAAAAGAAAGAATAATTTCGAGAATAGAGCTTCATTGGAATAAATCCTTTTTTACACAAACATGGCTTCTAAACTAAATAATTTGCGCATAGCATCCTAACCTTTGGTTTGAATACCAACTGGTTTCTGCTTTGTGCTATTTTCAGTGCTATTCTCCGTTCTCATCTTTGCTCGAAATTTTAACGTTGCAGCGCTACATAAAAGACTAGTCCCCGACCAGTTCCGAGCTACTTTATCTCATCTGGTCGATAGCCATCAATCGAATGAAGTAGAGGGGGGTGCAGCTCCACGCTGACTGCGTCCCACGCGATGCACATGGGTGTCTCGATCTAGGAGATCAAAAGCAATTCTGGATGTCCTAGGTCCCATTAGAAACCCGCACTTTTTTTAGGAATGGGCAAAGCAGATACCGCCTCTTTCTGTATGACAAAACTTGCTAATTTAACTACTACTCTACTCGAAACTAACCAACCACCTTTATCGCTTATGCAGTGTTTACATGAGGCGATTTTATAGGCTGAAAGCAACAATCGCCTGGTATGAACGAAGTTTCAACTAATCGCTTCCAATGAAGTTGGAGGGTAGCTAACTTTCAACTCAACTAATCGCCTCTAAAATTGCCTCATATGAACACCGTTTTAGTAGAAAAAAAGCTACCGCCATAAAATTCGTTGCCGGCTTTTTAGCATTCAAAAGAATAGAGTAGAGCGTTCTTTTGCCGCTCGTTTACAAAAACACGAAGCTATTGTTTTTTTCCACCTGACCTAATCTATAAAAAAGATTAAGATTAATGAAACCAACAAATTTTTTGTTACAGTTTTCCATTTTATTAATTAAATTATTCTTCTTTGCGTCTTACTTTGTCACGTTTATAATAATTTTCACTGTTGTTATTATTATTCTTATTACATTGTAGCAAATGAAAAACCAATTTTTCAGTACATTTAGCATTATAAACTATGAAACTAAAGCGCTTATACAAAGAAAAAAAAAACACAAAAAAAAAATTATTCATAGTTACGAGTGTATGTACTAAATATGTGTGTAGGCGTACTACCGAAAGAAAAAATCAAAAAGTCAAAGAAAATTAATTACATAATATTAAAATATAAATTGGAAAGACAAGTTTTGAAAAAAAAAAACATTTATGGTGTTTTGCAACACATTTTTATACATACAATTGTAGTTTTTATTTTTCAGAGTTGTAAATAAGTAAGCTTAAATTTGTTTTTGTTTTTTTATTTGCAAGAAGAGCAGCTTGTTAAAAAATTTCGAGGGTTGAAAAAAAAAAGTTTAGAAAACAGTTTTAGCGCAAAATCAAACGCTTGTAGTGGAAATTGATTTCATTTTTCAGACGATTTGTGTTTGCATAAGTAATTTACAGTGATGCATACATATATTTGACAAGCATGTATGGATTTATGCATGTTTGTGTGTATGTATGAAGTGAATATGTATATAAACATATGCAAATTTACGGCTGTGTATGCGTAGTAGAGGACACTTTTCTAATTGTTATTTGTTATGCTTTATTTTAAATTTTAATTTTATGTAAGTTCTCTTTTTAGTTATTAGATTCTTGTTGTTATTTTTATTATTACTATAAAATAATATTCTATTTTTTGTTATTCCCCAATAGACACCTCAAACACAATTCTTATATGAATTTTTTACAGTGTATGCAGTGTTCTCATGTGTTTGAATGTTGTGTGTGTTTCCAGAAGTGTGGTTTCGTTTGTTGACAAGTTTTCTTGAGTTGCTTGTGTCTTATGGCATTTTTAGTTTATTTAGTTTTTAATGATGTTTTTCTTTCCTTTGAATGAAAACAAAAAAAAAAAAACCTAAAGCAAGCCAATGCATTTTTTGCTGTGTAGAAAAGCATAAAATATTGCTGAATGTTGTTTTTACTTGTACTACTTAGTACACAAATTATTGCTTGCATTTAAGTGTATGTATGTATGTGCTTGTAAACACCTAATCTGGCATACCGATATGTATGTATTTATGTGTTGTTTTTTTTTTTGTTAAATATTTAGTAATTGTTGCACTTAAAAAATATTAACGCTACTGTAGTATGTAGTTTCGCTTTTTTTCTTCTAGCGTAAATGATTTCTTTTTCTTTAGAAAATGCGTTTTTTTTATTAGTTCTTTAAAAAAGTTTCGGCGTTCATAGTTGCGCAAAAGTATGCAATTTAGCGGCAGTAACTTTTTGTTTTAATGTTTTTTTTTTTTAAATAATTTAAATCATTTTTAAATTGCACGGTGCATACAGAAACTGATATTTTTTTTTTGTTTTATTAAGTAAGCAAGGAGCGGAGACACTTAATTTTAATTAGGCAAATTTTATGATGAATATTTTGATTATTTGCTGGTTAAACTAAATAAAACTAGAGGTGTATATGCATATAGAAATTTATTGCAAAATAAAGGCAACTATATGTTTATGTATTATGTAGGTCTTAAGAAAAAAAAAAACAAAACAAAACAAGAATTACAAACACAAAAAAAAAAAATTGTTTAAGTGGAAAAAATATACATACGTTTTTTTAAATTAAAAATATATTTTAGTGAAATTAATCATTTATTTTGCAAAATAAGTCATTACCACTTTTGAGCTATAAAATTGCTTTTGTCATTCCAGTGATTGATTGCTATATACTTGCCATCTAAGCAAAGGGTAAAGGAATGTATTTTCATACAAAATCCTAAAACTGTGTGCAAATATCGTAGTGATCTTCAGTACTGAGGAAGATTTTCTTCGAAATGCGCCAAAATGCAGTCACCGAAGATTTTGGTAGAACAATCTTATATAATCCAAAAGCGTTTTTTGGACGTAAAATGTTCCACTCCGTGTAATGGTGGTGAAATACCAGTTGGGATGACAGTGGCATTTGATTAAAGCCAAATAACAGGGCTTTGCTTTTCCAAACGCAAGTAGGTTCACCATTTTATACCAGCTTGAATGCATTCAAAAATAAATTGCATACTTTTAGGGCTCACTGTATATGTCTATGCTTTTATTTTCCTGAATAAACTTCGGCTCATTGAAAAGACCTCTAATGTATAGCAATTATGCCCAAAAATATGCAACATCCTCAGATTTAATATTGCACCTGTTGGGCTTTAGTGTTGCATATTTTTACGAATATTTGTTGTTCATTAAGAGATTTTTGGCAATTGAAATTTAGCGTAGCGATTTCTGATAAATACTTTTTTCTTCAGCCTATAAGTATACACTTCTCCCACACCGAGTGTGGAGTGACGAAATTTTGAAATTCGCTTTACTGAAATCACCCTTTCATTATTCTTACTGCTTTGTGTTTAATGCTTTGGGTATACGGAAAATATTAAAGTTAACTTCGAAAGCCTAAGTTTAGGCGTTGCCGTTGTTCAATAAACGGTGCTCGGTGTGGTAATTCAACTCAGGCGGTTTAATGCAAAATCAAATACTAAATCCAAACTTTTAAATCGATTCGATGGCAAAAAAAAACTTAATTAACTAACATTTTTTTGAATAAGCTGCAAAGTTAAATAATGTATGTCTCTACGCTGTTTAAATAAATGCATGTAGGTACTTGAAAGAAAAACACGAAAAATATAAATCGTATTATGTACTAACTTTAATATTCGGGCACTATGGTTTTAGGAATTAATAAACAATAAATAAAACTATTAATTAAATAAAATTTTTCGTTTATTAATTTGAGTACAGTTACAAGTTAATTAACTAAAGAAAGGCATATATGTGAAGAGAAAATGTAAACTATTTTGATTTTATTTGTAAAATACGGTAGTTTGATTTACAATTGACACTTAATATTTTTTACAATATTTTTTATTGAAAATGTAACAAACAAGCTAAAATATGTTCAGTTATAAGTAACACAATAAGCGTGTAGGACAATTAAATTTTATGCTTGCGAATATGAAAATGCTATTAGTCGCGTTAGCAAATTAAAGAGTTCGCAAGCCATAATAAAAAATAACAAAAAGGTGTGAAAAAAGAAAAAATATTTATCTAATAACTTTTTGTAAGAAATATTGATTTTTCATGGTGGTTTTTTCACTTTTAAATGGCGATTTTTTTCTCTCATGGCAACAGTGTGTTAGTTTAGGCAGTAATCTATTTTTTTTTTTACTTTTTTCGACAGCGGGTTTTTATATTATACTTTTAAATCAAAGATGTGTATGTATTAAACAATTTTTTTCCGAAAGAATACCGTTTAAGTTGTTTTAGTTGCTCTATTTGCCCTCAAATAAAAAAAAAATCATTAGAAAACTTTTGCGTTTTTCTTAGCTGCACTTCTTGGTTTCTGCTTTCCTTTTTGCTTTCATCAACACTGTACTTATTTAAACTAATAGATATTTTTTACTTGGTATTCAGCAAATTATAAATGTGTTACAAATAAAAAATTTATTAAAGTATATATAGATTTATCTGTAAAAAAGTATAATATTGTATAAAAGTTAATAGAAAAAAACTTACTTATACATCGAAAACTTTTGATAATCATAATTATTTGTTTATACATAGCAATCATAATTGTAAGAGTAAATAGTTATAGAAAAAATGTTCGTTCATTATTATTTTCTTGAATAATAATAATTTCACTTACATATCGTTATATGCACATTAAAACTACATATTTATTTTTAGTATCAATTCTAGTATATAATAGTAGACGACATTTGTGTTATTAATAATACATTTTTGTTATTGTATTTTTTTATGGGGGTTTTGTAACTTATTTTAATTTTTTTTTTTTTACTTTATATACTTTTGTTATAACAAGACTTTGTTTTATTTAATTAGATTTAAGTTACTTATTTTAGTCAATTTGTTTTATTTTTTACTTCACCTTAATTTTTTCTATTTTAGTTTTGTTCTTAATTAATTTTTAGTTTCTGCTTGAAAAGTATTATAATTTTCTCTTACAAAAATTATATACTTTTCATAAGTATTATTTTAGTTTTTTATATTTTTTTGCTGGTTACACAAAGTTTGTTCGAATTATTTAATTTTTATTAAAATTTTTATTTATTGTGACACACTGTGCGCCAGAGTGATTGACTTTAAATTGTGTTCGTGAGCTAGGATTTGTGAAATAACACACTTTTGGTGTAGATATTGACGAGAAGAAAAAAAATGTTACATATAGCTGGTCTTCAGCAATAACGACACAATTCAAAATTAAAAAATAAAAACCCTTACTACTCATGTCTAAAATTCTTGTCTTATTCATGTCCTCATCCTTCCTACTAACTTTAGAAATTCTTATTACTTATTTTTAGTAAGTATAGAGACATGAGCCACTTAACAGAAGTTTTTATTTTTTGAAATTTGAATTGTGTTATTGCAGAGGACCATCGATATGTACATTACTGCTTGTAAATTAAGATATTGAAAAAATCAATTTTTATTTATTTTTTTTTGTATTGAAAATTAGAAAAAATGGATAGTGAATTTTTAGGTTGAAAAGTTGCCTCAAAGCATGAAATATTTTGTTTTTTAATTTTTTTTCTAACTTATGAACACTTTTTATAGCGCACCGTGCCTTATGCCTGATTTACATTAAGCATGGGAATGACAAAAAATGTGTGCCTTTAAAAATAAATTTTTTTAAGCAATGGAACACTTATTTTTATATGCCAATCTTCGTCATTCCAATATTTGTCATTTAATGCCAAGTGGAAGTTGGGAAGGTTTTTTCATTTTATTAAAAATTTGTCGTTTAAAACATATTTTAAATTCTTTATTATATTTAGTTTTTTAAGTTTAATAAAAAAAGTCAGGATTTTTTAATTTTCTGTTTTATAGTTACGATGTGCGACTTTTTACTTTGATATTGTTAACAGTAGATAGTTTTTTGTTTTTCATAAGAGGAAGAAATCCAATTTGCTATTTGTCATTCCAAAAAAAAAAAATAGTTGGTTAAGTTATTTGTGGTTTTTTTATTTAAATTAATTTATTTTCAAGGTGGTCAAATACAAATTTTTTTTATATTTTTATTCAATTTAATTTTTTATTTTACTTTATTTCTTTTTATTTTACTTTACTTAATTTTATTTTATGTCATTTTATAATATTTAATATAATATTATTTTGCTTTATGGAAATTATTTTAGTCTAGCTTTTTAATTTGTTTCATTCATAATTTAATTTATTTTACTTTATATTTTTGTATCCCTTTTCATTTTATTGCAGTTTATTTATACTTTAATTTATTTTATATTATATTTTTATTTTTTTTTTTATTTTAAGTTTTATTTATTAAAATTTTATTTTGTTTTACTTATTTTTTATTATTATTTTTTATTTCATTCTGTACTATTTAATTATATTTTATTATTTGCTTTTATTTTAATATACGTCATTTTAGTTTTTATATTATATAATTTAATTTTTTCATTTTGACCTTTATTATTATTAGTTTTCAAAATCATACAAACTATTAATTTTGTAAATCCGTTTTCTTAATTTTGTAATATAACTTTTTAAATGTATTATTTTTTCAATATACATATAAATAATTTTATTTTATAATTCTTTTTTTTATATGTTTATATTAACTTTTTAAAATTTTATTATTAATTTATTCAATATTATTATTTTATTTTCCTATAAATACTTACAATTTTACTTATATATTTTTTAAATTTTTTTCAGTACTAAAATTTTACATTTATACTTTTTTATTATTTTTATTATTTACTTATGATTTCGAGTGTTGACTTTAACACACACATTCACATATATATTTACTTAAATTATTAAATAGGTGTGTGTGTGTGTGTGTGTATGTCTAGCACGGCATGTGTGTTTCTGTGTGAGCTGCTGTTGTTGTATTTGTTTTAGGTAGTGTGTGTGTATTTGTTTTTGAATTATTATTTTTCGCTTTGTATTTAAATTTCGCTACATTTATGAAAAGTGTCCCGCCCTTATAAAGTATTTGTTTATGTTCATTTACCATATTTACGCATATTTTTCACACATTTGTTGTTGTTTTTTTTTGTAAATGTGTCTAACTTTCTTTCTTAGTACAATTTTATTTATGTTTTTAATTTTTTTCTTCATATTATGTCTGCTTAGTCTATGTATACTCATATTAATTACTTTCAATTTGTATATTTTCATAATTTTTGCAATATTAAAAAAAAAGAAAATATTTAAACTAAATTTGATATTTTTCCACGCACTTTCATTGCCTGTGACCGTTTACATACAAATAATTCTTTTTCTTATTTTCATTAGTTTTCATTTGCTTTTGCTTTTCATTTTTGTTGTTGTTATTGTTTGCGTTACTTAACTGTAAATAACTTAATTGTTACAAATTAGAAAATAGTTGAATTTTTCATTTCATCTGTTTTTTCAACGAACCTTCAACTTTTTTGTAAGCCGACAAAAAACTCTCCACTTAATTGAGTTCTTCATAACTACAAATTTTTTCTTTTTGTGTTGGTATGTGTGTGTGTGTGTGTGTAACTCAATTTAAACTTTAAGCCCTGCTGCAGTACACATGATCTAAATACATACGAAACGAGAAACTTCAAAATCCTTAAAAAACTCTCAAACTTTCGTTATCTCTTAGTTTCATACTGCTTCTTGCTGCTGCTCTCTGTTTTATTTGTTTTTGTTTTTTTTTTATATTTTTCACTATTCACTATTTACTTATTCGCTTATTTTCATTATTTATATTCTCTTTCTTCACCTTCTTTCTGCTTCGGCGCTTTCTATTTCGCAAAGAGTTTGCTGCCATCACTTTATCTCCTTCTCTGCCATCGCCTGCCGCCTTCACTCTCTCTAGTAACGTTGGGAATTATCTCAGGCATAAAATTCACGGTTATTCGCGTTTTTCGCATAGGAATTGACCGCCGGCGAGCGTTTGGGTTCATCGAGTGCATAGGAGCCTTCGTCCTTTTTCCGCATGCGGTAAACGATGAACATGACGACGAGAATGGCACACAGCAGACCGACGACAGCGCCACCGATGACAGCTGGAAGAGAAAAGCGAAATAGCACATTAAGATTATTTAAAATTCCACAATTTAAGTGCCTGCTGCAAAATTTAAGCGCCCACTCACCTGCCAAGATGCCCGGCTGGGCAAAGAAGCTCGCCGTTCGATCGTCGTCGCTCGTATTCATGATGAGTACTTCGTTGCCTGTGGTGTGCTCGATCACTTTAGTGTCTGTCGGCTGGCTATTAATGTTGTTCGTACCCAATTCGTGTATGGTGTTGCCCTGATTAGTGTTGCCGCCTGTTTTGCAGCAGAGAGAGAGAGAGAGAGAGAGAAAAAAGGAAGAAAACAATTGATTAGGGTTATCGCTTTAGGTATTCGTTGTTCATAAAAGTATTGGTCCTGTTGTTAGTTTGCCTTTTAAAACAAAACGACTGTTAGTACAATTGTATGTCCTTTTTTCGTAGCCATGCGAAGCCAACAAATTTATTTGCAGGTTAAAGTACAGCATTCATTGGCTGGACATGGTTCAAGGTGTTCCATGTTTTAGTAATCACTTGGTTTTAATGTGAAAATGTTGCATGAGTGCTGGTTAGGTGTGATTTTTTTTTTAAAGAGTACGATTTCAACATTCAAAGCGGTTATTCTACGGCGCAGCAAAAACTACTGGTGTAAATTAAAAATACTAATATTTTAGAGAACAAAGCAAACAAAAACAAAACGAATTATTACAATGACTAATAATTAAGCATTAACTATGAATGCATCAGCAAAAAGCGCAATTAGAACTAAAGAAAACCAAACTTTACGTATTAAAAAAAAAAATAAAATAAATGTTAACAACAGCATTTAGTGGTATAGTAATGTATTGATAGTTGCATTTTTTTCTTACCTGGTTGCGAAATGATATTAAGTGCCATCAACTAATTTTTTTCAGAATAAAATTTATGTTAACCGGAAAGATAAATTTTAAAACCTACTTGAGAAAACGGCCCGTAGAGTTGTAAAATATTTAAAAAATAAAGTACTAACCTACTAACGACTACATTGAAACTAGAAGTGGTAGATAATTTTTAAAATAAAAATTTCCAATTTTACCAGAATAAAAAGCAGCGCAAGAAAAAATTTTGGAAATATTGACATGGTTCAATGCGTGAACAATTTTAAATTTTCATTATAAGTATTTCAAAATCTTCTAATCAATTTCGAAAAAAAATCGGCAAAACCTAGGGGCCAACTTTTTACATTTTTCTTGATATCTTCACTTATTTTTACAGTCGGATCTTAAGCATGATGTATCGAAATTTTTATCTTGAGGCAAACATTTTTATTAATTAAATCGTTCTAGTATTACCCACCACATCTCAGTTCGTATCACACTAATGTACCACCCTAATGCCAGAAAATTAAAGCTCTTCAAAAATCATTTAACTATTGGTAAGAAAGTATTTCGATTATTCCAGTAGAACTATTTGATAACAAATATTTATTGCCGAATTTTTGTGTCGCCGAAAAATTTAAAAAGGCGATCGCTACACTGAGGAAAATAATGCATAGTAAAAATTAATACTTTCTATTTGATTATCATAAAATTTAGCACGCACGTATTTGAATGCGCACATCTGAGTATGTACTATATGTGAGTATTCATACCCAGTAGGGAAAGAAACTAGATGTTCAACCCGTTTTTTACCCACCACAACTAGTTGAAGATCTGACTTTCTTCCGTTGAACAAACTGTTGGCTTTAACATGGCGATGTCCTAGGCATCAGTCAATTATCTTCACTTCACTTCAAAGTCAATATGTTTTTTTTTTTGCATGTGGATCTTTTTTCTCCGTTTGGGGTGATTGGGCCTTTTTTGTTTGTTTTGGACCTTTTTGAAGCAACGTTCGTTTGAATAAGCAGCACTCACAGTTGCAAACTTTACCTATGGGTCATTCCACTCAATATTTACTCCGCAATATTTTTTTTTGGGGAGAAATTTTTTTTACATTATTTATCGAAAAAAAGAAGATACCTATTTTTTTATTTCGTCATGATATTCGAAAATCTCGAAAAAAAAAAATCCCGAAATTTTGAACTCACGGAGAAGTATCTTTTTTTAACTGTTTGCAGTTAATAAACTATTTGTCGGAGAAAATCAGTTAAGGTATCAAAATCTGCGTAATCACCTAAGCTTCCATGGGAGTGTGAGATAGATTAGAATACAAAAAAAATTTGCATTAAAAAATCGCTTACATAAGTTATAAAATTCATACGCTTGTATCAACAATTTAAACAGATCTGAGTATTAGAAACAAGAATAGAAGGATACGCAAATAGTACTTATCAACGGTAGTGCATAATCACTTATCATTATAAACGTCTAAAACTTTAAATAAGTTGGTTGCAAGTGTGTGTTGTTTACAACTATGCACCTATGCACATACAAACATGCTTATGCATGTAAGAAGCGGTCAAAAGTCTAGTTGAAAAATGAATAGAAAATGTGTAGAGCGAAGAGAAGACATGATGGGGATTTCACAAGAAATTACACTATTTTCGGCGAATGAACAAAAATAAAAAGCAAAATTTCTCTCTCTTGCAAAAAGTTTAAAGAACTGCAAAAAATAATGGTTAGTTGTAATAACACAACGGAAAAAAGCTTGGGAAAAATTGCGTGAGAGCGCAAGAAGAAAAAAATTTTAATAATATAGTTAAAGAAAGAATGCCATAAGTGCATAGCAAAGTTTGGTTTCAATCTTATTTGGAAAAGGATTACAGCTGTGTATTACGTGAAAAAAGCGGAGCAACAAAAAAAAAACGGCCATTAAAGAAAAGCAGCAGCTCCAGAAGGGAGCGTGGCTGGCGTTGCATAACTTTTGCCAGCGAAAATTAGTTAGAAAACAAATGCTACTAATTTAATTTTTTGTTTGTTTATTAAAATACAAAAACAAAATTACGTATTTCTGGCGTAAAACTCTTTCAAGCAGAGTACCCTAGCAGTTTCGCCCATTAGGCATGCGGCAAGTTTTTATCAAGATCAGAAGAAATAATGCAATGCATAACCGCCTCGCCTGCAGGGAAATAAATAAGTGAAAATTTTATACTTGCATATGTATGTATGTATAATTCCACAAACTTTTGCCAACACTGTTGATAACTAAAATCACTGATTCTTCACCAACATCATTAGCACTGTAAGATACTCGTACTGAGCGGAAGTGTGGTAGCATAGGAAAGATTAAATTGTGGGAGTAATGGATGCAAGCGCCGATAGGCAAAGAAACAAATAAACAAGCAGACAAATTGATGGATTGCGGAGTGTAATTGGCTTGTAGGTGGGCCGCAAAACACAGAGGAAGATAAGGAGAATTTTATGAAGGCAGGAGGCATAATAAATATACTCGTTATGATGAAACTAAAGGAATGGCTAGCGCGGTATACTACCTTACCACGGTAACAGTTATTGGTGGAGCATTTTAGCGTAGCCAAGTTTGGAAAAAATATTTTGCTGCTTATGTGTGGTCTTTCATTATATTTGTAAGTGAAAAAGACGCACGAATAATAATGTAAACACCAAGAAGTGAGACTAAAAAAAATGCAGCTCATCAGCGATTGATCCTCTTCTGAACTTTTTATAACTGATTGAATAAACTCAGAACAAAATATATACTAAACTAACTGCCAGTATTTTCATACACGCCGTACGAGCCAAAAATAGTGCTACTACATATTCTTAAATATATTCAACCCCCAAAAAATTCCATGGAAAAATGAGCTTTCGAAAAAAAAAATGAAAACTTTACTGGCAAGCTCCAGTAAACAAATTTTGGGTGTTTGGTTTTATGGACTTTTTTCGTAGATTTTTAACCAATGAATTCAAATTAGTTGTCCGTTGGAATCTCAGTTTTTTAATTGCAAAGCAGCATTTAAGTTTTCAACTTTTTAATCAGAATTTTTTGAGCATGCAGGTTTGGTACCCAATAAATTATAGTAACATAAAGTGCAAGTTTTAAGTTGCTAAAAAATCGTGTTCTTTTTTGATAATTTTTTATTTGTGTTACGCATTTTTTCCATAAAAAAAAAAACTAAAAAAAATAAAAGTATAATCGAATATACATACTTTGTATGGAAAGAAATACGTCAAAAAATGCAATAATTTAGGAACTTAAAACTTGCAATTTATTGTACTATAATTTAATAGGCTACAAAACTGCACGCCCAAGAAATTCTAGAATAACTACTTTGCAATTTAAAACATGAGCACCCAACCAAAAACCATTTTTTTTGTAGCTAGCCAGCAAATATTTATTTTTTTATGAAGGTTAATTTTTCAACCAAATTTTTTGGGAATTTTATATAATGGATTATATAATGGCAGTATTTCTCACTTGTAGGCCATTATGTCAGACATTTTTTTCAAGATAGCCAACTTTCGCACATTTTTAATAAATTTTACTTTGCCTAATTGATATTAAATACGAAATAATTATGTGTTAATTTTTTTTTGTTTTTTTTTTTAACAATTATCACACAAATTTTTGAAAGCAAAATGCATTCTTTTGGAAGTATCCAAACAAGTAGTCATTCGCGCGAAGTTTTTATCTCTGCAAAACTCAAATTTTAGAGGCAAACAATAAATGGTAAAAGTTTCGACGTAATTTTTTTATTAAATTTTCAATTTGCGACATTTTATTTATTCCCTAGTACAATGCTCCATATTCCAAGAATTTAAATTCTTTTATTTTCGTAATGAAACTTGTGCATACGAGTATATATTTGCATATCTATATCTACGAATGCATACATTTTACTTTTATTACAATTGGACTTTTGTTATATCATTGCTGCTCACTTTTTATCTGTTTTATTTTCTTGTTTGCTTAACTCATTTCCATTATTTGATTGCGCACTTAAAGTTGAATGAAAACAGCAAAGCAAATTTTACAATATATGGCATAAAAAAATTCAATTAGTGCTGCTTTCGTCAAATTGTATGTCCTTGAATGAGTGCATACATATATGAACATATGTACACTGGCGGTCAAAAGTGGACGAATGGTGTTTTGTTTATAATATTTACAACATTCTACAAGCTACAATTTTTTGTTATTTTTTATTAAAAATATGCTTCAAGCTTTAACAAAAAACATATAAATCACACTTTAAAATTTTATACAGAATTTTTATCTAAATTTCGAACTTTTAAACCAGAATTTTTATAAAATTTTTTAATATTTTTTTAATGGCGTTTTGCACTTTCTTCCATATAAACACGAATTTTTTTTGGAAGAATATGCGAAAGACCGTTTGCGAAAAAAATAAAAAAGTCAACGCCGTTATTTCGTCAGCAAAAAAAAAAATATTAAAAATCAGTGCGATTTGATAAGCCTGTTAACAGCATAACCAAAATTGTATAGAACTTCTTAACAAAAAGCTCGAAATTTAGAAAAAAATTTGGAATTTTTCTAAATTCTGTATAAAATTTGAAAGTGTGTTTTAAATGGTTTTTGTTAAAGCATGAACGATTGTTATATAAAAAGTAACAAAAAAATTTTACCATGAAAAACATGGTAAATATTAAAAACAAAACTCCATTCATCCACTTTTGGCCGCCAGTGTATGTACATATGTATGTATAAGCATACCTGCATTCTCACATCAGCATCGTGTGCAAACATTTTCTAACAAATATTTTTGTTTAC